TCAAGTGAGGAGAAAAACTCCGAGTAGGATGGAAAACTTTATTCTGCTAATTTAGCTGGTAACACGAGACACAACTGAGCAGGAACTAGGCTTCAAGACTTCTCGTTCGTGCCTCAAAATATTTTCTGTTTTATCCTTGTCCCCAGGTACCTAATACCCTAATAAACAACAACTAATTTATGTTTACAGCCTACTTATTCTAAACTCATTTGCTAAATACATTTATTTGGGACAATCTCGGATAATTCAAAGTATAATTTATATGGCTCGTAAATTCCCAGAAAGCAAAATATATGTATTGGGGCAGGTATTAAATGTAATTGTAAACGTATATAATTTTATTTGGGGGGGCTGAATTCGGGGATAGCTTAGCCCTACAAAGTCACTTTTAGGTCAAGTCAAGATCATTTCAAGGTCAAAGTAAAGAAAAGGCCTTTCACCAGGGATGCACATACCGCGGCCCGATGTCGATGTTTATGCGGCCCGCCAACGAATTTTAAAAGTATTCTACTCGCCGCGCTCTGGTCCAAGCATATTATTACGAGGCTAGAAATTTGTCGCATCAACTAGATTACAGATTCGCGAAACACGTCGATCCCCGAACAAAGTGGATGGTTCTCGATGTTTGGTAACTCGTATAAATACGACGCATCGCCGGCTACCGGGGCAGTTAAGTTTTGACTACGGATAAGCGAACGTTATACTGTTTGAGAACTGTAATCTGTGACGAGTAAATATTTCGTCGTTCGAACTTGGCTTTTACCGACTGTAACATATAATATTAATTTTGATATGGATAAACCAGGCCCCAGTAAGAAACGTAGTCGTAAGGTTGAAGATGAAAATCGACAGTTTCATGATATTTGGACCGAAAAATACTTTTTTATTTCATCGCATAACAAAATTGTCTGTTTAATATGCAAGAGTAGTGTTTCTATTCCGAAGGAATATAATGTGAAAAGGCACTATGAAACCCAGCATCCAACTTTTACCAAATTAACTGGCGAAAATCGAACGCAAAGAATTTCCACTTTACAACGGGAACTAATAGGCCAGCAATCTATGTTTACAAAACCAATTCAAGATGCTGAAACAGCCACTGAAGTTAGCTTTGAAATATCTCGAATAATAGCGAAAACTTGTCGGCCTTTTAAAGATGGTGAGTTTGTTAAGCAATGTTTGGATATCGCCGCAAAAAAAATTTGTCCGGAAAATGTAAAGAAGTTTGAAAAAATTCAGTTAAATCGGATGACTGTTCAAAGAAGAATTACCGCATTAGCAGATAATATAGAAGAGCAATTAGCTACGAAATCGAGAAGTTTTGAGTATTTTTCTATAGCGCTCGACGAATCTACAGATATAAGTTCAACTGCTCAACTATTAATATTTTTACGAGGTGTAACGCAAAATTTTGAAGTGAGTGAAGAACTGATTGGTATGAGTTCTTTGACAAGTCAAACCAGGGGAAGTGACATGCTCAAAGCTCTTCTAGAAAAATGTTCTATAATGGATTTGGATTTAACGAAAATATCTGGAATTACAACTGACGGAGCACCTTCAATGGTTGGAAGTACATCTGGGATAGTAACTCTGTTAAAAACATATTTACAAACTAAAAACATAAATACCAAGGAATTAATGCAGTTTCATTGTATTATACATCAAGAGGCCCTCTGTTCAAAATTATTGGGATTTGAAAATGTTATGAAAGTTGTAGTACCTACCGTAAACTTTATAAAATCACGAGGTCTCAATCACCGACAATTCAAACAATTTCTCGAGGATATTGAAAGCGAATATGGTGATCTCCTGTTTTACACTGAAGTAAGGTGGCTAAGTCGTGGGTTGACACTACAGCGATTTCTTAACTTGATTGAAGAAATCCAACTATTTCTGGCGGAAAAGAAAAACGACGTCCCCGAACTCGACAACCCTGATTGGCTGTGTGACTTAGCGTTTCTTGTAGACATCACAAATCACTTGAATGTCTTAAATACGCGACTCCAAGGCAAAGATCAATTGATTTCGCAGCTATACTCTCATGTTTCGTCCTTTCAATGCAAATTGAGTCTTTTCAGGACACAAATCAATTCAGCCAATTACGGCCATTTTCCGAACTACAAAAAAATTATGGAGAAGTTCAATAAAACTGACGTCAATTTCGCTCATGTTGAAAAAATTGATATTTTGATACAAGCTTTTGAAAATCGTTTTGTAGACTTCAAAAAAGTTAAACCGCTATTGGACATTTTCAGCAATCCTTTCAACATTTCACCCGAAAATGCGCCGGAATTAATGCAGCTGGAATTAATAGACATGCAAAATGATGATAATTTAAGAAACAAATTTAATGAAGGTAATTTACTCAACTTCTACCGTTGCGTTGATAAAAACGCTTATAAAGAGTTGCGAATAAATGCATTGAAATGCGCAAGCTTATTTGGATCGACGTATATTTGTGAACAAACGTTTTCAGTGATGAAACTTAACAAAACGAAAAACCGAAACCGTCTGGCAAATGAAAATTTGGAAGCAATTATACGTGTGGCTACAAGTAATGTGGAGCCAAATATAAAAAAACTTGTTAGTTCAATGCAATGTCATGCATCAAAGTAATAAAAAATGAAATATTACATTGTAATGATTACATAATTATTACAACAAACATTTTTGAAGGTTGTTTTATTTTTATCATTGTATTTCATACTATTTAAAAATAAAAAATTTTGTGTTAATAAATATTGTTTGTAGTGGCCCGTCCTTGGCTTGTATTTTTCCCGAGTGGCCCCTGTTCCTTATAAGTCTGTGCATCCCTGCCTTTCACGAATGTTAACCTGTAAGTATTGTATGCTTCTGTGGTCGCTGAATCTGCATTTGGGGATAGCTTAGTCCTATAAGGTCACCTGGAAATTAAGTCAAGGTCATTTCATTTGAATTAATCTCAATTCAAGCCTCGCATGAAACAAATGGAAAGTGGGTCTCAGTCGATTTATCTGAAAATTGAGTATTTTATAATCAACTGATTGTTTACTTGTTCTTGATCATTAATCAAGGTCATTGCAAGGTCACTGCAGGTCTTGTAGAGTTTTGTACAGGAAACAACATTTTAATCCAGGAGAATATATCTGTAACACGGTTAATTATCTTCTTCATATAGTCAAAATTCAATTCAAGTTTTTTCTTCAGTTTGTCCTTGAGACGACCTTTACCTGACCTCCAGGTGACCTTAGATAGCTAAGCTATCCCCGAATTCAGGTTCAGCGATACCAAAAGCATTGTACCTACTGGTCAAAATTCATTTCATGCCTCAGTTTTTGAATCCATCAACTTGAAACTTCGTGAAGCTTACTCAGACCTACAGCCAAAATCACATACTTCCCCTTATTTATCTCTGACTCACTCACTTCGGGCCCATGACAACTTTTGATTAGAAAGTAAAAAACTATAACATTCTACAATTTCAGTAAAACCGACTGGGACCCATTTTCCATTGATTTTGTGCGGGATTCTTTCAAATTTATTCCATAATTTAGACACCTTTAAAGAAAATGGTGTAAAAGCTTAGATCAGAGGATTTTTGGGGGTGAGAAATCGGAATCTGAAATTAAATTTTACATATGACAAGTACAGATACTTGGAAATCGGTGTACAAAACATAAACATTTTCTCAATTGTTTAATTAAACAGACTAAATCCCCATTTTATCATAATAAGATTTCAGAAGCACAAATTACTTGTAAAAAAATCTGGAATGATATTAATAATGTAACTAACTCTGTCTCTGATTTGAAGAATAAATCATCTTTTTGTATTGGTAAACAACGATGGCTGTGAAATTAATATTTTTTTTGCAAAGAATTGGCATGAAAATGGCGAATGAGATTTGTAAGATTTCTTTTAATATTCCAATCAGAAATAAACTCAATATAAATGGGTCTCTTTTTTACCACCTATTAATAGAAATGAGACAAACAAATTACAGTATTTTCTGGAGGAAAATAAAATTTTAGCCAGTAATTACTTTGGTTTTAGGAACAAATGTCTAGTGAAGACGCTGTCAATAAACTTCTATGTGCCATTGATAATAAATTAGATAAACAAAAAAAATGTATAGCCGTTTGTCTTGATCTTGCCAAAGCATTCGATATCGTTAATCATGAAATTTTGTTTAAAAGAAAAACAAAAAAACCTTAGGCACGTGGATTTTCTTAATCAGAACTTTCCAAATCACTGGATAGAACGCAAATATTCAATTGGGTGGCCTCTCAGATCGCTAGATCTAACGCCCTTAGACTTTTTCTATGGGAATACTTAAAGTCGAAAATTTATGCAACACGACTGAACTCACTTGAGGAGCTTCGTCGGCGAATTGTTGGACAATGTCGTCAGATAACGCTCGAAATGCTTCGAAATGTTCATTTGGAAGTGGAGCAAGGATTTTATTATTGTATGGAAGCAGAGGTACACCAATTTGAACTGTTTTTTTTTGTTGTTTTTTTTTAATTTCGATAATTTCCAGGTGGAAAGGCTTGGAACACAATATATATTTAAACACTATTTAGCAGACAGAAATCAAATAGTAAAAATAAATCAAGTAAATAGTAATTCTTTACCTATTAGTGTGGGTGAACCTCAGGGTACGATATTGAGCCCTTTCTGTTTTTTGGTTTATATAAATAATATCTCTAATTTATCTACAATTACCGCTACAGTTATCTGAATAAATTTACTTAATTACTTACTTACATATCTCATAGAGGACGCTACTTACGAACTGTTGTGTAGTTCATTGTAACATTTTTATGCAAAGCCCTGTCTGGATTCTGAATAAACAGTTTGATAAGTAGATTATTTCTAAGGAAAAAAGGCATAGATGTTTGATAACCACTCCCAAATTTATTTATCGATGCAGGGAATATGGCGGAAAATAAACTAGAACACTGATTATACAATTTTAATAACTTTTACCACTATTCTACATCTAATATACTCGAAAAGTTTTATATTTTTTGCTCCAGCTTTACTTCAAAATCCATGCAGAAAAACATCACCTCATCTTTCTTCATTATTACCCTGGAATAAAAGAACCCTTCAAATATCGTTTTAATCTTCAAGAGGCTTAGATCCAAGTAAAAATTCTTGACGGAATATGAACCCTGAAAGCAAATTTTCCAATCAATATTGTTTTTTAACGAGGGGGGAGGCACATTGGCTAAATAGTGTACACCTCCCTTTTTTGTAATAAAATCTGTAATTCGTCTTTCAATTATTAAAATTTTGTATCCACGACTATTGTATAATGTACCCATTATACGTCTGTTTGCTCGACCTTAATAATACCCATTAATCACGGCAGTGATTAATGAGTCATTAATCACTACTGTCAGATGCTTCCTTAATTTAGCTATAATATTATATTGTTCTGCTACAAACAATCCGTTTTTAAAATTTTATCGTGTAAACCACTAAATATTTTCAATTCAGTGCTGTACATATAAAAAAAAAATTAAAAAAGTGAATTTTCCTAGACCGGATTCGAACCCGGGACCCGCGGTTGGAAGGGAAAGAGCATCTACACTGAGCCATCAGCGACTTCATTTGTGCGAGTCGTATATCTGTTTCTTAACATACCATGTTTTTCGAAACATTTCAAAAAAAACTTCAACAAAAATATTTAGTAGTCGTGGATAAAGTATAGTATTCTACTCCCGTATAATGGGTATTATTTATTTGGTGATTTAGTCCACTCGCCTGCGGCTCGTGGCCGTAAACTTCACCTCGTGAATAATACCCATCATTATACGCTCGTTGAATAATATACTATTAGTAAATCCTACTCATTCCAATAATAATAATTATTCGACTAATTCCTCACAAATACTTATATGTGCATATTTTTGTTTACACTTATCAATATCTCTCGAGGTTTATACAGAGTCTCCGTATGTAAGTATCAAAAACATTTTTCTTATTTTTGAATTTATTTTTACTTACATTATATGGTGTGATAGAATTTTGAAGTCCCATGTCATTTACACCTCTCTCTTTTTTTCTTTAATTTGGTAATAAAATTTGAAACAAAAATATGTATCTGCAAACGAAATTTCGGAATTATTTTGTACGCATCTTGTTAATAAAATAGTTAGTAGACCTTGAAAAGGTTGCTGCATGTTTCGGAGAAATTAAGTAAAACTCCTCTTGAGAGGAGTATCCTCAAGAAGCTGTACTTCCTTAAGAAGCATCTTCATTGTATGTTTATTAGCACATTTTTTGTTGGCAGATCAATTATGGCACACCTTGTATTGCCTGACACATAATAAAAAAAAGTCTTACAGAAAAATATTTAGATAAAAAAACTTAACAAGTCAAGGTAATAAAAATATTACAATATAAATATTCCTAATAGAAAATATTCTTACAAGATAGTATACTCCTATTGTACATAATATTAGATATTAAAAATTTGACTGTGGAAATAAAGAAAAACTGGTTTAAAAATTTTATTCCGAAAAACAGAAGAAATATGTGAAAATTTATAGGTCTTAGAAAAACAATAATATCCGAATACCTAATAAAATAACTACTTACAAAAATAAAGTTAAGAGAAACTAATACAAGAACACGAAAACAATTTTTTAGCTAATGACATAGTGGGAAAGAACTACTCTGCGGACTACAGCCCCGTGCGGCACTGAATTACATCCACAATATCTAGTAGGCTGATAAAATCATTCACCAGCGGAGTCATTTGATACAGTCTGGTTTCGATTTAGCTATTTGGATGTCTATCCACCGATACGTTTTGAATGTAGGCGAGATACAACCTAGATAATACGTCATATCTTAATTGCCGATGCTGTATCACGCAGAGTAGTTAATTTCAACAATGCCATTCAATTAAAAACATTAATTTTTCGAGATTGTAATATTTTTAGCATGCTTTTGTATATTTAGCGTAAAGATATTCAATGTTCGTAATTTCATTTTTCTGTCACGAACATTTTCAAAAATATCTGTTAAATCAACTTTCAGGAGCTTACTTTTAATAAAAAATAGTCACAGTGCGCATGCTCTCAATCAGTAACATCCCCGATAAATCACCAGTAACTCCTAAATCCCTTTACATCCCAAAACTTCTAAAGAAATCCCAATACATATTCAAGAAATCCTAGTATATCTTCATAAATCGCAATATGTTTTTAAGTATACACTTATTTAAGTGTATACTTAATCATTTGATTTAAAAATTTTGCGAGAGAAATACCCTTTGCTTGTTTTTCTTTCAAAAACTTGGTTTTCTAAAACCACACTTGAATGTACTCATGTGTATCTTACCCTACCTTTTTTATCGGGCAAAATGGTGGGATGCCCAGATGTTCTTCCCAATTCAACCACAAATCCCCAACAAAGTTTGTCAGCACATGACAAGCATCACGACCGCTGATAGTAAATGAATTTTGTTTCTTATCAAGACGGGAACACTTCATATTAAACTAAAATCAATGTAGAAAACGTATTATATTTTTCCCTTTTCTTATATCCTACAGCTGTATCTAAAGTTACTCACAACTATAGTATGGTCGATGTCGAAAGGTATACTGAAATTTGCATCTACCACTTGCGTGGTCCTGTTATACATGTGCATGCGGACAGAACTCTTTACGGTCAAATTATGGACGTCCTGGCAATCTTCAGCCTTTAACAATATCATCTTTGCTGGACCATGAATCTAGAAAAAAATAAATAAACGTTATACAATGGTATAACGAGAAAATTACCGACATACAAATGTACAAAGGTAAGGTGCTACCAATGCTAACAAAACTGATATTTTTGCCGTCACCATTTTCGTATTAATGCAAGTATTTACAAAAACATAATGGCTATCATGAACAAATATGTACTTTGTATTGATACCAAAATGGATATTTGTAGATATCAGAAAATGTATAGGTAAATTACTGTTTTTAAAAATCGATTAATTTGTGATCTCTCAATGACATCTACAAATCATTGATATTCTATAATGATACCGGTAGTATAAAATAAAACTATATACAACATTTCATTCAATAATATGAAAAAAGGTATGTTTCTATTGAAGTTTTCCCGATAGATTTATCAATTTTAGGTTATTGTAAAACAAAAGGAAAAATTACGTTAGCTGCATTCTGATTTGCACAATTTCTTTTAGAAGCTACATATTGGACATGTTTGTGATGTTATTGCATTATCGTATTAGTTTTTAAATACTTTGACTTCAGTGTATTGGTTATTTCTTAACTTAGGGATATCCTCATTTAAAGTCAAGGAACAATATTTGTTATATGAAATGTTTCTAATGTTTCAAGCATACTCTTCATATTCCATTGATTGTTGATCTCATCTATTAAGATGAAGTAGATGAATTTGATTTTCAGTACGATTTTTTCAATCAGTATCAAGAGGTGTCGTATCGGTATTTCTAGAATAGCACTGGAGTGAATTATTAGGTTTATACTTTTGGAAATTGTAATTATTATGTTTGACATTATACAATTTTAGAAGGAAAATTTTGGTCGACTAAAGAAGTAATAATGGAACAAACACTTATAAAAACAGCCCACGGACGATAGTTCAGCTTAAGAAGCTTCTTTTTTACTTTTCTACTTCATTTCAGATGTGGAAAATATCCAGCGAAATAGAACTATTTGGCTGACTTTGACTTCCAATATAATTTTACAGATGAAAGTCAAGTGAAGTTGAATCGGTATAAATACACGGGTACATCTTTAAAAATCTTATCAAATGAAATCAAATAAGGTTCTTCTAAACCACAAATCCAGGAATGTAAAAGAGACCAGTCTCCCAACTTCTGAAATTGGGGAAAACAACTATTTTCTGGACTGAATACTGCAAGTAATATAATTGACACGATGTTAATACCTAGTAAACAACTAGTAATTTTTTAAAATTTTTTGGATAAAAATCAACTGGATACGAATCGGTATATCCAGAGGGTCGCTGCATAGATTAATTATCAGCACCTAAAAATTTGTGATAGTTCTCTAATTTAGATCTCAAAAATTGTTATTGGCAAGTAGAAGTGAAACACAACCAACCTTACGATTACCTAAGTGTAAGACAATTAATTAATGACATGCTAGCACATGCCATGGAATTTGAAGTTGCGAATCAAACATCTAGGAGACACACCAGTAAGTGAATGAAGTGGTAAAAATGGAGGAGTCAATGAAACAACTCACGAAAATGATGATGGTAATGAAAACAGGACAGGATGAATAAAGACCTGATATGAAGGCAGAACAGAATGCACTAAGTTCTAATATGAAGACCGGACAAAATAAACTGGATGCTATAAGATCAGATATAAATACAAGAGAGAATGTAGAAAGATTGTCTGAAAACACGATGTCAGAATGGATTCTATGTAAGAGATCTAGTATGGCTGTACAAGCCAGTAAGGAACAAAGAAAAATCTCCTAAGCTCTAAAACTCCTGGGTTGGTCCATATCTGGTAGCCAAGAGGATCAACAATGTGGTCTACTGGCCCAGAGCGAAAATTAAAATCGTTCACTTGGATTGTTTGGCCCAATACCGAGCACATATTAGAGAGCATCTGATTAATCATGGGAACAATCATTTTTAGGATAAGGGCAGTCCAGAGAAGATCACCTCAGTGTACAAATCGGTTATCTACGTATTCAAAATGGTATTTTCCGTCTTCTCAAACTAATAATCCACAGAATCCTAATTCTAACACAAATTTGTACCAAGTTTGACAACTTTGACGTTTCCGAATAACAAAATTACAATTTAACCTTTAAAAAATATTCTGCGCATTGACGCGGCCGTTTTTATATTTTCGATGTTTACATAGTTTTTAAGAATAGTATAGAACAATATCTAGGCCTTCTAAGAATATAAAAGAAAGGGAATTCATTCTAGAAACATCATAAGACAAATAAGTAAAATAAGTGTATAACTATGTACATTAGGGTGATTTTTTTCTACGATATAAAATTTATGAAGGCAGCACTTTTTGTTTTTTCAGTTTCTTTCAGGAATGGCGATACACCAAGTGAAGTAGAACTATCTGGCCGATGCCACAAACAAATAATTTCCGGCTAGGCCTCTAATATAGTTGATATAATGTGAGGTGGGGCATCTCGATGGAGGACCGGCGTTACACTGAGCCCACGGCTTCGGGCGATATCAGCAGTTCGTGCCTGGCCACAGCCGCCTGTAATCCACCTGGATCCGAACCATCGGATTGTGATTTGTATCGCGGGATGCCTACAAATGAAACGATCTGTTCGAAAAATATATAACGTCGGGCTTCGGAAGCCGGCTATTTAAAAATAAATTTACCAATAAATCGCCCATACGTATAGGTCAGGTCGTGCGCTGCTGCTGCTGCGGGGATTTGGGGCGGATTAGGCGCAGTTTTTTACGCTCGCGGTGGTGGATGAGCTCCTGTTGGGCGCCATTAAGTGTCTTTTAATTTTTTTGACGTTTTTTTATATGGGTTTAGTGGGAGAACTAGGATCCGGTACAAGTACGTGACCAATTTTGCGATTTACTAACTAAAAACAGGTTGTAGAAACGGTTTAAGAATGTCCGATTTGGCTCTACATCGTTGGTGTAGAGTTTTTGACATTTTGATGTAAATATAGCTCTGTTCATAGAAACTATGAAATTGGACAAATGGCAAATGAAAATACCGGCCAGGGGACGTAATCTCCAATTTCTTTTGAAGCAGAGAGTGATATTTCTTCGAAAACTTCACGTTTTCGAACGAATAAAAAATAGAACTCCTAAATACTCTCTGGAGATACTGATTTTAGAAAATTGGATACAAGAAAACGATATTCGTACAATGAGAAATAATTTTGAAAAGCGTCAATTTGCTACACAATATATTTCTAAATTTATTAAAAAAAAACGTGGATGTACAATAGATCTATACAAATTATCTTAGTACAAATAAAAATCAAAAAGGACATTTTAAAAATATTTATTTACAGAAGAGAGAATAAAATGAAAAAACTTCGTTATTTTACATTTTACTGAAAAAAACACGATTGATACAAAGTTTTGCTTGTACTTAAATTAAAGTTGCCATGAAGAAAGTCAACATTGTTCATATTCATGTATTCAGAAATTAAAAAATACAAAAATGTCGTAAAAGTAAACTACCGCCATTTCTATACTTTCGAAAAACTGTCACTAGGAAAATTTAATTGAAATGAAAAGTTGCAAGAGAATTTGTGACAAAATTGATTATTTACAAAAAAATGATGTCAACTGTAGTTATAGTCAAAAGGGTCTCAAAATGTGGAAGAACTGAAAATGATGCTCTTTTTATTCATAACTCACAGGTCAACAAGGGTCAAGAAGCAGACATACTAATATGCATTCCCGAAGGATTTTGGTGTGCTGAATCCGATTTCAACATGTGATATATCAACGAAAAAAAAAAGACATTTGGTCAAACTCAACTGCATTCGAAGGAGGGAGCCTTGTACTTTTAGATTCAATGTATTAATTTTTTGAAGATGAATAAATGGCATTACTACATAACCTCAAATATGACGAAAAACAGTGTTTTTGCACTTTTAGGTTAAAATATCTCAAAAACTTGACATGATAGAGCAATTCTGCTGCCAGATTCGGATTCAGCGCACCTAAATCCTTTGGAAATATATATTCAAGTTTCTGCTTCCAAAAAAAGTTAAATTTTGTTGGTCTGCGTTATTTTTCGACAAAATTGTAATTACGAAAAAAGATATGACACAATTCCAAAGTTAAAGCAAAATTGGGTTACTTTATTTATTAAAAGACGTAGACAAATATAGTTGATGTGAGAAAAATCTCCTGTCGTTCTTTATGGAAAAGAAATCTTTTTGTAGAAAATTTTTTTTGTTATTTAAATTAAGAAGTATCTAATCTTTGATGTTATTTCACTTAACTCTAAACAATAGGTAGTGACGAAAATTTCACTTTATTCTTCAGTTGATGTGTCACTACACTTCCCTAAAAAATACAACAATAATTATCATATAAACACTAACTTTACATAAAAAAAATATTGAATTCGGTGCTATGGTAAGGGTGATAACATGTATCGCCAAGTAATACAAGAATTCAACGAAAAATACATAGTTCGTTTGTAAGAACAGGGTCACTGTGGAAAACACGTAGGCTAAAGAAAAACTATGACGAAGATGCCACCACTGTTATAGTTCTACAATGAGTGAATTAATATCCTATAATTTAACTAAGGAGATATCAGAACACCTAGGAAACTTAGAATACAGAGAGAGTTGTGAAAAAGTCCTACATACATAAAACTTTTAAACAAAAAAAATTCTGCTGTACCAACCAATTTTAAATTACACTTTAGAGGTAGGCGAAGAAGCGAATCGTCTCAATTTTTGTCTGTGAATCTTAGGAACGAAACGGAATTTCCATCAATAGATTATATTTTTGAACTAATCTATATTTTCGAAAAATGACATTGTTGAGAAATTTAGAATTTGCGGTTTACTTTTATGGAATAATAAGACCATACTTCTTTGAAGATACATGCAACAGAAACAGCTACCTTAATATGCTCCAAACGTTTTGTTTTTCACTAATGAATTGGAAAATTTACTATTAGTCTATGGAAATTATTTTTCTTTCCAGTAAGTCGCCTGTCCGATGCTTTCTGCTGTAAGTATTAGAACCATGTTACAGGATACACTACCCAATCGCTGGATTAGCTGGCATAGTCCATATATCCATGGCCCCCACGGTTTCCAGATTTAACAATCATGGACTTTTACATGTGGGATCGACTCA